CCATTTTATCATTTGCTCTTTCACAGTTTCCTCTTCTGTGTACCATTTTAACAACACTTTATACATTTTAGAGATATTTTTCCCCCTCCACTCTCCCAAACATTTTCAATTTCATTTTTTTCCTCTCTAAAACCATAATTTCTTTTATCTGATCTAAAAAGATCATAAATTTGCATATATTTCAACCATTCATATTCATATTCAATTTCATTCTGCTTTTTCATTACCCATTCTGTTCCCTCTTTTTTAATTAAATCTTTATATGGCAACCAATTCTTGTCTCTATGTCTTGAGTAAGATGTTAACACTTCTACTGGTACAATCCACAATGGTCTTACATCACGGAAATATTTTTTATATCTCATCCATACCACAAACAATGCTTTTTTTACCACATGAAGCTTAAAAAAGCTATCCATTTTTGTCTTATCATACCATAAATATGCATGCCAACCAAATCTACAATCATGGCCTTCTAACCCCAATAGCTTATCATTCTCTAGTTTCACCCACTGTTCCATCCAGGTTAGACAGACCGCTTCATAATATAGTCTAAGATTTGGTAGTTGTTGCCCACCTCTGTCTTTGGCATCACAAAGAATTTCCATATTAATTCGCGGTTTCTTGCCTGCCCAAACAAACTTTGATAGTTCTTGTTGCCACTTAAGTAGCAAATCTGTCTTACTAAGTATTGGTATTGTTTGGAGTCCATCGCCATTTTTAAGATGTTTACTTTTACAAAGTTTGCCAAAGTCCCGAAAACTTGCTTCAACACTTAACTGTCTCCTGGAATCTCTCTGTATAGTCCATTACCACTTTTAAACCTGCCCCCCCTTTCTTCTAGCTCCGTAATGCTTATAAACAGTTCTTAGCGGAGGAGAGTCCCCTCTCCCACCTCGCTTTTTTTTGGGGGGGTGCTCTTTTGCTTTGTTGTTTCGTTTCAACTTTACTCACTCTTCATATGTAGATCAAGTAGATCTCACCTACAGATATGCTTATTTGTCACTCAACCTCCACTGGGGTGTGCGTAGCTTAGTCCTTGCCAGAACACAGCAGAGAGACCGGAACACAGCAGAGAGACCGTTGGAGCAAAGGGACGCCTCAATTTCCCAACAGCGTGCCGGGAAAGAGGCGACCCTCAGCGCTCCATGACTAGAGACACTTCGCAAAGGTCTCCAGGGGGGCGTGGACATTTGCACCCCCTCTCTAACTGCTGATTTGCGAGCCGCCTCCCTGGGAGATCCCAGGAGACACAGCCGCCATCAGCTCGCCGAAACCCCGCCTCTCTCTAATAGACAATTTCCATGATCCAACAGTAAAAATCATCTCTTAAATAGGTAATTATAGAGTCTCAAGTGCCTGACTGTGCAAATAAAACAATTCCTGATACCGTAAACTTTATCATTAATGTTAGCTGTTCTTGTGATTACAGTACATGGAAGTTACTGTTCACTCTTTGAATTCCCCTCCTCAAAAAAGTAGATAAGACATATTAACATTGTTCTAATGGATCAGGAGAACTATATTTTAGAACTTCTCACTTCCAGTATCAACATATATCCTTAGTAAGTTTTTTGTGATTTGAAAGTTAAGCCAAATAAGAAGGTATTTTAACAGCTTACCTCAGAGGCTGAATACTTCTCTCATCATCAGAACTGATTTCCATTTCAAATACTTCTTCAGTTCCAGGAGAGGAGATCAGATCTTCTTTTCTGGAATCTTGTTTACATTTTCTTCTTCGCCGCTTTTTCTTCTTCACGGACCCAGAGGAAAACACAGGCTCTGTTTCTACAATCTGTGGAATGTCTGAGTTTTGCATTTTCCTTACATTTTCACTTGACTTCAGCAAATGGTCATCACTATCTTTGAAGAACTGATCTTCTGTGGGTATTGGGGATGTTGCTAGATGTGCTGGAACTTTTTCCTTAAAATGCAGGAGGGATTAAAAAGAAAGTTACATACATTAATAAACCAATTTAACAGATAGTATACATGTTCCAGTGAATGTTGAAATTCACATGTGAACGCTGGAATATTTTTGGACATAGAAACATTTGAATGAGAATCTCAAAACTTTACAGTTTTCCCCCACTCACTGTTACATACATGTCTGCAACCGTCATTTGTGCAAACTGAAAACTACTGTAGTTCAGCCTCTATTTGTTACTACTCCTACTGCACTTTCCACTACCCCAAAAATGTGTTTTTGATTCGCTTGTTTCTCCAGCAGTGGGAAGGGCTGTACCAAAAACAGAACACAAACCTTCAGTTGCAATCATGACTCTCCCATGCACCTACAAACTATTGCTTTGAAAAAAATCAGGCCTGGGTCAGGTTCTGTACTTTCTGAAGTAGATAAACACCCATGCACTGTAATTTGTGAAGCAGAGCACAACAACTGTGCAAAATTAGTTTGTGATAGACTTAAAAAAAATGTTTCTTGCATGTGAATTCTCATAAGCCATCTCTCTGCAACTGAACAATAACTGACTATAGTGTTAAACTAGAAAGGATGAAAACAGTGTAACAAGGCAAAGTCAAAATGAATTGCAGAACGCAACCAGAATTCTACCTATTGACCCAGCAATTTGCATTCTAATGTAGGACTTGACAGATTTTCTTTGGCTCTAGGAGACAACCCAAAAATCTAGGGGCCAGGCTCACTGTTTTCAGCTTTCAGAGTTTCACATTTTAGTGACCATATTTTCTAATTATTGCGACCATGAAACCCAGTCTTCACTTCTTATCATAATTAAGCATCTTAAAGTTTTATATTAATGCTACTTACAAACTTTTCTTCTGTTTCTTGTACAAAGAAAGCTTCCCCATTGTCACCCAGTTTCATATGAAGATCAACTGCATCTCCATTGATTTCAATATCAATCTGTGCAAAACATTGGCTGAAACTTTAGAATGCTCAGTAAAAATTACAAAATTAGGCAATGTTTGGTCTATACAATATACACTCCTCCCCCCCAAAAAAATCAGACTGTTGTGACACGTTTTCTTTTGCTTCTTTAACCCCACAGAATATGAGACGAGACCTACATGACCCTTTCCCTCAGAACCCAATGATAGTCTGACCAGTGTTCCCTCTAAGCTGAGTTAGTGTGAGCTAGCTCACAGTTTTTTAGCCTCCGGCTCACACATTTTGGTCTCAGCTCAGGAAGGAGGGCTCCAGAACACACTAATTTATGCAGTAGCCAGATCACCTGCTCACAACTTTAATGCCAGTAGCTCACAAAGTAGAATTTTTGCTCACAGGACTCTACAGCTTAGAGGGAACATTGAATCTGACTGGCCTCTCTGAACTCAGTGAGGAACAAGGCGGCAGCAACACCTCCAGTCTGAACCACCTTGGGACTATCAGGCTGGGGGAAACAGAAAAGGCCTCCCCCGTTAACCTGGATGTGGCAGGCTGCGTGATGCTAAACTTGAGCCAGTGAGAGAGGACTGAAAAAGAATGAACAGTTAATTTCTATGGTTAGCAACTAGTTGGTGAAGTTAATTGGCCTGTGGGCCCAACAGCTGCTGTCCCTGATTCAATAAAAAAGTATATATGTCTTGCCACCTACCTGAACGGAGCTTAAATCTTACAGTATTAGTTTTTGTGTGGCTATCTTGAGCAATAAATTAATTACAGGTCAGATATCTGTATATTTCATTTCATTACTCGGAATGCTCATGGTCCTGACACTGACCTGCCTCACATATTACTTTTTAATACTATTTCTGGCATTTGCTCCAGTCTGAGGTAACCAGGGAAGATGATAACAGCACACAAACCAGGAAGAGTGTTACAGGAACCCAGCAACATTGCAATATACTACGGGGATACAGCTCTTAACTCATGTACTGCAATCAACTTCTTCATCCACCATATAGACATTCTCTTCTCCACCACTCTTCTGATTGTAGACAATTTAACTGGGAAGATGCTGGGGTGGAGGGAATGAATGATAACCCTTGGCTAGACTGTCAACATGTTCCTAGATAACTCTGAAACCTATTTTGCAGTCTTCTAAGAATTTGTAAGACTAGGTTAGGACACTTAGGAGAGGCTTCAATGGTAATCAAAACTGAAGTAATTCGTTTTGTTTCCCAAAGTGCTTTTTATATGTAGACTAGGGTTTTGACCTGATACATCTGTAAGCAAAGGAAACTTCTAATTGTAACTTCATAGGTATGGATAGAATTCCTTGTTGCAGACATTCAGGACAGAACTCAATAGCCTTATTTTATTTTACCCCGCCTTTCTCTCTAATGGGGACTCAAAGAAGCTTAAATTGTTTCCCTGACCCCCATTTTATCCTCACGATAACCCTATGAGGTAAATTAAGCTGCATGCAGATGCAAGTTAACCCAGGCTCAAGGTAACCCAGCAAGCTTCCATGGCACAGTGAGGACTCAAGTCCAGGTCCTCCCAGATCCTAATCTGTCACTCTAACCACTACAGCACATACTTGGAGCATCACATGTTTTGAATGCTAGATAGTAGGCAGTGTAAATGGCAAGCCTGATGTTGGCTATCCCCTGTACTGAGTACTACATCATGGCTTATCCTAGTGCTGTAACAGCAGCACATTCAAAGCAGTGGGGGGGGGCCTCAGCTAAACCCCAGTGCATACACTTTGCCCTCAGAAGATTAAAATCTTAACTTTTATCTTAATAAGCATGAAACTAATGTTTTACAAAAGTAGAACATTAATTATCCCTACAGTTCCTGTCATTAAATGATACTTACCACTTTTTCCTTGGAACGTAAGACGCCAAGCTTTCCAAATCGGACATGGAATGGTGAGCACAGGTATGTACCATCCTGTTGTCGAACTACGACTACATCAATGCATCCTGACAACGTAGCCTGGTTAATGCCTTTGTATAGTTCCTTCACAGTAACCAGAACTTGTCCTGCAAGCTGCCCCACGTAATTCATACTTCAAAGCTGAAAAATGTGCACAGAAATATGACTGTAAGTATCGTCCAAAATACACATCTGCAAATCAAGGTTCTCCTTCAGATTGTGGCTATCAAATTCAGCTTCGGAGAGCTCAAACTGAATAAGAACACATGTGTAAAGAATTTGGGTTTATTTTGAAGGAGGAGGAGATTGGATTTATACCCCACCCTTCACTACCCAAAGGAGTCTCAGAGTGGCTTACAAACTCCTTTCTCTTCCCCTCCCCACAACAGACACCCTGTGAGGTTGGGGGGCTGAGAGAACTCTGACAGAAATTGCTCTTTTTCAAGAACAGCTGTGCCAGAATTATGGCTTGCCCAAGGTCACCCAGCCAGGTGCAAGTGGAGGAGTGGGGAATCAAACCCGGTTCTCCCAGATTAGAGTCCGCGCACTTAACCACTACACCAAACTGGCACCAAAAAAAAATAGTGCCACCCTAAAGAGTTACAGCCTTCTAAGTTCACTTGTGAACTTGCAGTGGTCCAACTCATTCACTTAAAGCTAAACAAAATTCAAGTTAGTTGTACTATAGCTATTTATTACACAGATGCAAACCCTGATTTATCAGTGAGGGCCAAAAGGCATAATGGAGATAATGGGTCTCGCTCAGTCTGTAAAAGGTAAACTGCATGTGAACACAGCAGCAGCTTTGGATCTGGAACATAAGGGAAGGAAAGAGGGGATGTAACCTTTCAAGTGCTGCTCCTTTTGACCAACTGAAATGAGGCTTCCTGTTGTGCTATTAGACATTTTAATGAAAAAGTTAACACTTGCAATATTAGTATGGATAGCCAAATAGCAAAACAGAGCAGGACTTGATGGGTAAAATCCCCCCTTTCTGCACAGCCCCAATTTGAAATGTGGCTATGCACACACACAATTTACTTTTTGCAAAATAACAGAGAACTGTGATCTCCTTCACATCTGTTTTGGTCTTCACTGCACACACACTGCACACTCGATACATGCATGTGCCTTACGAAATGCAATGTCTGAAGTGTACTTATAATTGAAGGGCTTAAAACCAAAGTCTACTGAAGGTGCTTAGTCAACATCCAGAATCAAGACATATCGGTGTAGGTAGGTTACAAATGAATTGCTTCGTAAAAAAAGGGAAAATAAAATTGTCCTGGTGCTTGCAAATGGAGAATTGAAGACTTTATTTTACACTGCAGTAATACTTCATAAATCTCAGTAAGCACACTAAATTTATTCATGAGTTTCACTACTAATTTTCAAACCTGGCCCCATCTTAGAGCTTAAATAGCATTTATTTTTAATTCCAAGGCCTGGGGGAGGGCGAATCAGAAGATAAATGTTTCCTGGGTACAAGCCACTTTCTCTTACTTATGGAAATTAACCTTCTAAAAAGATTAAGCAATTCCACCTCCCTCTTCAGTCAAGATATAGTCATATGCGAGGGTCAACAGATATCTTTAGGAACTAGTCAAACATACTTATTATGACAATGAACTGCCTTTTGACGCAGGAAGTGGGGGAAAACTGCGATATGCTAAACAGAACTTCTTTGAAAATGCTAACAAACCTTCTAGATGGCTTGCGTATAAATTACGGAAAGAAAGAGAAAAAAGATATATAAGAACATTGAAAAATGAACTAGGTGAGGAGAAAAATAAAATGGATGACTTGAAAAGAATTCTGGAATCATACTATTAAAACTTATATAAAAACACAGAAGCACTGCAACAAGAAGTGGCAAATTATTTAAAAACTCATAAGCCTAAAGTTTTTACAGAAGACCAGAATAAAATATTAAACCAACAAATAACAACTGCAGATCTTATAGAAGCCTTGGAAAAACAAAAACAAAAAGGGAACGCACCTGGTCCGGATGGACTAACTTCAGAATTTTATTTGGCCTTCGAGAACCAAGTGACAGAACCTTTGAAACAGATATGTCAGAATGCAGCTCTAAATGAAGAAATACCCGAAACGTGGAAAGAAGCTTTAATAACATTAATATATAAACAGAACATGGACACAACAGAAATTAAAAATTATAGACCTATTTCGCTGCTAAATGTATACTACAAAATTTATGCCTCCATTTTAGGAAGTAGAATGAAAATAGTTCTGTCGCAAACAATCCATGAGGATCAAGCGGGTTTCCTCCCGAAAAAACAACTGCGCCAAAATATAAGGATGGTGCTGAACATCCTAGAGTATTATGAAGCCCATCCAGAAAAACAAAATGCAAAATCCAATTTTTTGGGATGCCGAAAAAGCATTCAACAACGTCATCTGGAATTTTATGTTGGAACTCATAGCCAAATCACAGCCAGGTATAAACTTTTATAAAACGGTCTGAGCAATCTACATGAAAAAACAAGCTAGGAGACATTAATGGAAACATATTTCAAATAGTGAAGATAAATAAAGGAACTCGACAAGGTTGTTCTTTGTCGCCACTACTTTTTATTTTTGTCCTGGAAAACCTAAACAATCAAATCAGAAAAGAGAATCAAATAAGAAGCTTGAAACTAAATGGAAAAGAATATATGCTGCTGGCCTTCACAGACGACTTGGTCTTTATACTCGAGAATCTGACAGAATCCATCAATAGATTGATATTGATCTTAAAAAATATGGAGAGGTAACTGGTCTTAAAATCAATTATCAAAAAACAAAAATGCTAGTCAAGAATATGACAAACACACAAGTCTCCCATATACAAGAACTTACTGGTTTTGAAATACAAAAGAAAATTAAGTACCTGGGAATAAACATAACGAACAAATGTAGCTCATTAATGGAAAATAACTATAAGGAGCCTACTGAAAGAGATAAAGAAACATTTAGAGAAGTGGAAAGATCTTCAGATATCACTGATGGGAATCATAGCCACCATCAAGATGAAAGTACTACCAAGGTTGATGTTCCTGTTTCAGACTATTCCAATAATACGAAACCAAAATTACTTTAAGGAATTTGATAAACTCATAACTTGGTTCATTTGGCAATCAAAAAAACCAAGAACCAAACTCAAAGATGTCAAATCTAGAGGAGGATTTGTGCGTCCAAATTGGTCTCTGTATTATAAAGCAGCAGCTCTGGCCTGGATCAAGGATTGGATAGTACTGGAAAATAATAGACTACTGAAGCTAGAAGGCCATGATCTCTTTTGGGATGGCACACATTCGTGTGGTACAGTAAAGCGAATAGCCACAAATATTTTAAACAGCACTGGCTCAGAGCTGCCCGACTGACAGTCTGGGAGCAAATTAGAAATGACTTCTATACAAAGACCCCAAGATGGGTAGAAACCTTTACGAATCCAACTGTTCACCAAGAAGAAAACAATATAAGATACCAAGAACTATTAGATACGTGGCTGGAGTTAAAAAGAATACAAAGAAATAATTGGTGGGAAAGAGTCCAAATCGAAACATGATACGGCAAAGATAAAGCAAATCCAAACTATTTGGAAATAGATAAAATTTTAATGGGCTTGGACCAGAAATTTATATGAAAAATGTATTACTTGTTACTAGAGCATAGAATGCATGACGAAACAGTTAAGTGAGTTATGATAAAATGGGCACAGAATTTAGGCCACAATATAGATCAGTGGTCGCAAATTTGGAAAAGAAATTTAAAAATTATGAGAGCAACAACATATAAGGAAAACTTCTATAAGTTGTTTCATAGATGGTATCTCACCCCAGATATACTGTCGAAAATGGATCCAAAATGCCCTAATAGCTGTTGGAAATGTCAAACTAAAAAAGGGTCATTTTTCCATATGTAGTGGCAGTGCGAAAAGGCAAAAAAGTTTTGGGTGGGGATACATGAAATAATTCAGAAAACTCTAAAAACTCATATACCCTTTACCCCAGGATTATTTTTGTTAAATATAATACCAGATGGATGTGAAAAGAATATTTTATACTGCATGTGGTCACTTCTGCCAGAATATTATATGCAAAGTTTTGGAAGACAACAGAATTGCCATCTAAGAGAGAAATTGTTAACAAAATACTTCCAGTAGCAGAAATCGATAAACTCTCACTACTTTTAAAGAACAGAGCAGAAGAAATATATGAAAATACATGGGCTAAATTTTATAGTTGGATCTGTAACTCCCGGGAGACGCGGGGGGGGGGGGAGAAGAGCTCCGTCTCCTCCATCCCCTCCCCGCTTGATCTCCCCGAGGAGGAGGCGGCTGCGGCGAGGCCGGTCCTCCCCCCCCGCGCCCGGCTCCAAGGCGGCGGTGGAGAGGCCGGTCCTTCCCTCCCCTTTGCTGGGCTCGGCGGCGGCGAGGCCGGTCCTCCCCCTGCCCGCCCGGCTCCGAGGAGGCAGTGGCGGCGGCGAGGTCAGCTACAGAGCGTTCCGTGCGCTCTTGCACTTTCGGGGGGATTTAAACATCCCCCCGAATTTTTTTTCTACTTTTAGCATTTTTGTGCACACGTGGGGACTGGCCCACGTGTGCACAAACCTCCCCCTCCCCCCCAAGTGCCCCCGGAGCGCTGATTTCGCGATCCGCACTCCGGGGGCAACTTGGCTATTAGATATATAGATACAATAAAGAAATATTTTAAAAAACATACTTATTATGACAAAAGGATCCAGAGGTCAATAAAATGGAATTTTTTTCTATCTACTGATAAGGACTTCTATCACCATAAGAAAGGCTGATAATGAGTAATTCCATGAAAGCTAATAAAAGTTTACTATCACACTCGCACAAAATGAGCCCAATCTAATCATTAGGAGTCACTTGCCAAAGACAGGGTGCAGAGGCTTTCTTGCACTCTCCAGAACTACCACTCTGCCATAGAGCCCAGGGCACAAATGGAAATTTCTTCGGCATGTCACAGCTGTACAAGATGCACATTTGCACAGTAGACTGCAACACAGCAACAGAAAGCCATTTCTCACTTGCAAAAGAATCCAGCTACCTGGGTGGTTCTCACACGCAACGTACTCCTCCATGAACTACCTGGAGAGCTAACTGT